AAAATATGATCAAAGGACACGTACCGGATATATTATTTCTGATCAGCAGCATACTATAGACAGGAAATTTATTATTCACTTTTGATTAATTAATATGTCAAATGAACCCATTAAAGATTAGACTTATTGAAAAAACAGTTACATTAATAACTTCATTTAATCTCCTAATAATATCTTAAGATATTTTAATTAAGATACAAATAGTAGAATAAAATTACATACTTTTTGTTGGTGTAAATTGGAAAGAATGTTGCAAGGAATAATATTGTTACTTAAAAGATGAACAATTTTGTAATATTATAAATTGTTGAAAATATAGATGACAATAATAGTATTATTTTAGGTTAAACAAAATTGTCAAACAATTTTTACAATTCTATCAAAATTTAATCTAACATTTAAATCTTTTAAAGTTAGAATAAATATAAGAATTTATATTTTATAAGAATTAAAAAATAATGTTTAATTAATAATTAAACAATTTGAATAGAAAAACAGATAAAAATAGCGCAAAAATACATAAAATATTGCAACACAAAAAAAATATTTTGATAATAATATATGTAATTGTTTATGAAATAAATATATATTTCATTAAATACGAATATACTGTAGTTAAATGATAAAATAGTTTCAAATAACAAAAAAAAAATTATTTTAATACATGTACTTATTATTAATTTTATTATTATTATTGTCACGTAATAACACATAGAACATAACATATAAACAATAAACAACTATATATTTATTAAGAAAGATAATATTAGGTAAAGAAATATCCAGGCAGAAAGTCAGATATTTGATATCAAATATTTGATTGCTTATGATATTTCTTATTGTTATTTGAGAAGTAATATAATATTTATTATTGTTATTTTAAAGGACTGAGACGTGAAATTGTTTCTGAACAAATGGAGTTCTTATGTAGAATGTTACACCTTCGTCAAAAAGTGTGACGTTTCCGACCGAATGTCTCGCGAATAAACACGGTGACATATAGCTATATAGGAATTAGCCTTTAAACCACCCTCACCCTCACAATACACCCGTCCAGTTATTTGCGAATGTTCGAAAAACATTAATATTCACTTATGCATATTCAACGCAATCCATTATATAGAAAAACATATGGATAAAAAATATGAAAATATGAACGCGTGACGGACAACAAAAATGTGAGAGGTTTTTCTTTGGCGACTCGATTAATAAAGCTTTTTATACATGACTTTACTTGGTCATTAATTACTTTGAAATTATATTTAAAATATAATTTTTAATTCAATTAAAAAAGATTTTCAGCTTAATGATTGAATGGATTTAATGAAGACCACTAAGTTAAATCTAATCAAATTACTATTGATTTATAATCCAAGTGCAATTCCAAAACCCTTTACTTTACTAGTTTTACGTATTTTCATACTAATATCAAATAAATATTGTAAATGTAATATTAAAGAATGCCTTTAAAGCGTATTATTCCAATAACTTGTTATTTTATAAAACACTGACCAACGGTAATCCAATGATAGACTTTTTGCGTTATATGATACTTTAACTAGTTATTCTATATACAACTTAGTTATTCTTTAAAATAACGTAGTTGTACAAAATAAAATTAAAATAAATAGACGAAGATTATAACTTGAACAAATACAAAAAAATGAAAACTAAATTTTAAGTTACTAAGTTTTAAGTTACATAATTTCTAAACATAATTCTTTATAGTGTCAAATAATTTTTAGTGCGGCTTATCCTTTTCTTATTTCAAACAGTCCGGTTTCAAATTACCAGAACTATATGAAAATATTGAGATCAATTGCATTAAAAAACGATTAGTTCTAATATATTAAAACATACAGACAAGAATACATTTTAAATCCCAGTTTGATCACGTTACAGTTATTAAGTTATAGAATAGAGTTACAATATAGAAAATACACGAATTCTGTCGCCATTTAATTAATTAAATTTTAATTATACCTTTCAATGGGGAAAATTAATTAATTATACATATCCCTCAGTTAAGCGAAATATTCAGCATTCAATATTCATTTGAACTAGATGGAAATTAGTTTTCGTTATTCACAAAGTTAATAGTTATTATAAATATTAGGACAGTAGTAATCAATACACGTCAACTAATTATCTAAATAGCATACACTTACATTTGGAAAACTCTTTACTTAATCAGATATAAAATCATATTTGCATGTAAAAAATTGAAAGAAATATTATATTAATAGTATTCATGTTTATAAAGAAAATATACAATCCAAGTGAACATACAAATAATAAAAAATAGTACTAAACTAATCAATACTTTTCATGATAGATGTTATATTAATTACAAACATTAATATTTATAAGGATACACGTATTGACAACACTATTATAACACTAATTAACTTTTTTTTAATAATAGAAAAATTCTGATTAATTAACCCTTATGTTTGTATTATAGGAATAATTAGATGCCGACTTTTGAATATTAAAATATTTGTAATTAGTACGAAATAACTCTCCATTCTTGTTTTTTTTCGTTTATGTAATATAATATATAAATAATATTATTTAGGGGAAAATTGTGAATAAAATAAGATTGTAGTAAAAAAAATGTGAAAGTTGAAAAAAAAAATCATAAAAAAATAACAAATTCTATTTATATTAATTATATCATAAGTAGAAGATATCATACCCGGGCGGGAAATCCCGGGAATATTTTAAATTTATATTTCCTGTTTTCCGGGTAAATATTAGCGAAAATCAAAATATCTTAGATATTTATATATTAAACGATTTATTATTGATTGTATACAGAATTTCAATGAAAACACAATTAATTCAATGATTGATCGGCGAATGTGATATGAATATTCTAAAGCAGCGGAAGCCAATCATTTTGACCTCACGGACTAACTAATGTTGAATCCCGTGTATGTAACGGTCTATGTTTTTTTTTCATGAAAAGAAGATTCTAAGTATGAAATGGATCTTACACTTGTTTTTGCTTTAAGCTTTTTATAAACATTATAATGCGTAAATTGTAAAATAGTACACGTAGAAACAGCAACCGCTGTTTTAAATAACCCATCAAAACAAATAGTTTATTATAAATACACTAAACCATTTGGAATTCATTTTAGTTTTTTTATTATAGTTAGTATACACTTATATCTTAGTAATATTATAAATAAATTCAATGATGGAAAGATGTGATTTTTTTTTAAATATGCACATAACTTATTAAGTTTGTCAACCAGCATCATGGACCCAAAAATGCAATTACAAATTTCGTGTTTTATATTTTTCTTTCCCGATTCAAATTTCAAACTTACCGATTGCCGGTAAGTGGTGCTGAAAGAAGGGTTCTATTTAAACAAATAGATTATATTGAAATAATTAACCTATTTACGGCTTTAACATATTTTAAACAAAATTATTGAATGGCTTATAATGAATCGGAATGTTCGATTGAAGTCCGTTTGTAAAAGTACGACTGAATAATTTAAGCTGCAGCAAAAATAAATTGCTCTTAATGCTGGCGAAACTTTTGCAGCGCCTCGATTCTTTTCTTACATTTACGGTTGAATCTAAGTTTGTTCCTGAAAATAAAGTCTTGAAACTGGCGTGTGATTTGAAGCCAGTGGGTGGGAAATAAGCGGAACGCGCTTCTCTGCAGAAGAGTAATGAAATCAAACTGGTATTTCCGATACAAACAAATACCGAAAGAGGATATACAAGGCGACGGATGGAAGAGATAAAAAGTACGCGGAAGTAATGCAAAAAGTACGTTTTCAAAAGACGTCTTTTCAATAGGAATTCGTTGTCACGTTCGTCGCGTTCATCCGGTTCGGAGTTTTAAAAATCCAGAAATCGCCCTGATGAGTAGACAAATATTTTCCCTTCCGGAAGCAAATAAATAAACTCGTCGCGAAAATGGGGCGAATTCCTGTTGAGTAGAGAGACAGAGACATTTACAGCAGCACGGAAGAAGATCTTTATAAAAGCAATTTTATACGATTTTGTAAACAATTCTGCTTTATTTGAACGCTTGTTTGTCGTTCGCAAACATTGGTTTTCCTTTACTTACAGCGGCATATGTTTAGCGAGACGACAATAGCTTTGCTTTACTTTACTTACTCATCGATTTTCTTTTTGTGTTTCAGTAATCACCGATAAGTGATTATGCAACTTGTTGTTGTTGTTTTTTTTTGTCATTTTGGCGAGTGCATTCGGATTAGATTCGTTAAATTTTCGTGCATCCGTGAACGGGGTAAGTGTGTTTGCTGTAAAAACAATCGACCCACAAAATCTGCCATCAAGCTGATTATGTGGAGTCAAACGCATATAAAGGCTTTGCATTTCAGTTCGATGCAGAAACAGGAAAATCTGATTTGCATTCTGAACTGAGTGGAGTTGAGCTTGAAGAGAGAAATAGGTTCTGTACATATATATATATATGTGTGTGTGCATTTGAAAGCGTGAGTTAGAAAGAGAAACATAGAGATCGTTGATCCTTGTATGATTTATAACGTTGAAAATATTTATATGCGCATTCGCGTCTGGTGCAGAGCGTAATTGTGGCTTAATGATTAATACAAAGTTTTGTTTAAATTTTCCCCATCCCGGACTTATATTAAGAATGTTTTCAGAGAATTATTTGCATACGAGATTAAAAAGACGTTTCAAGTTTTCGGGAAGTTTTCCCCAGGTGGGCTTCGCCGCCGACCCAGAGGCACGAGATAGAAGAGGAGGCAGGAAAGAAATAATTTAATTTCAACCATAAATAAGGCATCCAGTTCCATTCTTAGATTACACATTCCTGCAGCCCGAGATTTCCCAAGGAAGAAGAAGCGGCGGCGAGTAGATCCGAAACGAAGATACAAATAAAATATTTCCTCCTCATCCTCCTCCTCTTACTCCGACAGTACCTCCATCCAACTCCGCGTCCACGGTTTAATTAAAATTCATTTCCGCTCCGTAAATCTCACACTTACCCAGTAGTATGCAGTATGAAAAAGAGTTGGTAAATATGGTCGGCCACTGATCAACAACCAAATTAAAGCGGGACCCGGATGCGAGCGCGCGCTTTTATTTTTTTCGTTCACGTCCGTCCGTCTGGCTGTGTGTTCAACTTCACGCAGGACAAAGTTACGTGAGGCAGGACCGACGGTAACTGAGATGCAGGAGCGTCGCGGCGCTGTTGCGTAACTGGTGGCGGTGCGTCGCCAACTGAACAGCGGCTATGAACGGCGTCCGTAGCGGACGGGGCATCGATTTTGAACAACAACTTTGCTACTGCTGCTTCTGCTCTGCTGCTACTTCAGCTACTTCTGCTGATGTTTCTGGTGGTGGTAGTGGCGTTGGTCCTGCCTGGGTTATCCTCCTGAACCTGCGCCACTAAATGCACGCTGTTGCGCTTCGCTTTTATGAACTTTCAAATTACTTTCAATATGGGTTTGGTTTTATAATCTCACGTATATATTTATATATTATTATTTACATATTATATATATATACAGACAACGTACAAATGCATACATTTCGTTTTATTAATTAAATGGATTTTTGTCAAACAAATGTATATAGTTACGAATATTTAGAGTTAAATTTTAAACTTTTGTGAAAAGTACTATATTGTAACGTGGCAAATGCAATCAAATAAAATTGCAAGGCTGTTTTGGAGGGGTTAATCGCAATTAAGAAACGTAAATAGGGTAACGACTTTAATGAAAAATATTCAAGCAATCTCTTTTTATCGACTTCCAAAACAGAAACCCGAACACTCATAAACTAACTTGAGACTTCGATCGATACATTCCTCTATTCTTTATATTAAGTTATCAACCAGATGTACTACAAAGTTTAAGAATAATATTCCAGAACCTTGTAAATCTAAAAACTGCAGGAAACAATTTCTTCGATACGAAAAAACAATGCCGTTTAGAGTAATAAGAAAGGAAACATATCGTTTCCTACGACTAAAATCGCAGTTTACGAAAATTATATTATATCAGATCATTAGCTTAAGAAAAACAAACAACTCAAAAATAAATACAAGGCATAGGCGAAAGGTCATCAAACCGCGGCTCCGTAAGAACTTCATTTCACTAGTTCTTTATTATGTAATTACGGATTTATAAAGTAATACTAATAATACACTAGAAATAAAATAAATAAGCCATATTCAATTAAATTACACGTTCTAAAATATAGTACTTACTTAAATTATGAAAAAAAAATGATTCGAAAAACAAAATAATATGAACAATTAAAAAAAATAAAACAGAAGTCCTATCCTCATAAGTATTAATTAAATTAAGCTTAATTGTAATGGATATTTATAAATAAACATGTATGTAACAAATATTTATGTATCTTTATATATTAATTCATTTACAGTTTGAAAACTTTTCGGAGACTAATTGCTTCTAATTATTATTACATTTGCGAAAAGCTTCTAACAGAAGACTACCCTTCATGCCGGCACGAAGATGTAACACGTCCAGGCAACGAATCCGGAAAAATTTAGTTAAGAGTTTGTAGAATTATAGAAAGAACGGAACAGGATGCCAGACCGGTATCGATTCGGCAAAGTGGATTTTAAGATTGTTTTTTTTTTGTTGACGCGTATCCGCCAGAAAAGGGTCAATTTTTAATAGAAAACCTTTTCGCATGCTGTTCTGAAAAACTGTTACGATGTTATCCCTTTTTTAGAATTAATTTAAATTCAAGTTATAAAACTATCATGTTTGATAGTGATCTAATTTATAATATACTCCGTTCCAAAATAAGTGTCCAATTTCATAAAAAAATATGCAAAGAGATATATAACGTGTATTTCCAGAACTAGATTATAAAATAAAATGGAAAACATTTGAAAATTAACACTTTTTTTATGTCGTGTAATTTTATTCGCAATCTGTTCATCAATGTGAAGATTGAGTAATTTTAAGATCGCGGTTGACATTAAATGGATAATCTTTCCCGGTGGATAGTTACCATTATAATGATTTGATTTTAATTTGTTGGTTGGCTGTCGTCTTGTAGGTTAACTTCAGTAGTATATTGATGATCTGCGATTCCACTATTTCCTTTCATTGTGAATCTGCTGCTATCCTTAACACTGTCATCGTCCATCGACTTGGCTGAAGGTCTATATGCTGAACCTCATTCATTTCACTGTCCATCTGTGATGAACGATGGCCCTATTGCTGAAAGCACCGAGAGTGCTCACAAAGGGCCTGGCTTGACTAGGATTTGAACCTGCGCCCAATGACTATTCGGCTATTAGTCGCTCTTAAAATTAACACTTATGAATAACATTTAACAAATTAGTAACTATAAACGATCGAGTTCCTGACTTGCTAACAATGTCCCATGCAAACGTATGTCGAAGCATGTAATCATTGTCTCCTTTATGAAGCATGGTCGATTCCATATATTTCTGCAAAAACTTTGTCTAGTTTTCCCATGGTTATTTTATCTCATACAATGAGTTAATCAATACTGAACGAGGATCTTTGTGTTATAATGATTGTATGAAGATAAGAAACCCAAGTCGAGGACATTGAAATCAGGATTGTTTTCTTGTTGACATATCATTCTTATGTTATAGATATGCCTATAAATAACTTCTCTAATATTATAAATAATATTGGAAACTATTACAGAACTAGGAATGACGATTTTTGGGTATTTTCATAGGTTATGTAAAAGAAGGAAAGTATAGATGTAATTTAAATGATTGACTTGGCCAAATCAGATTATATGGGAGGGATAATTAATCTCTTAACGCCGGAATTAATTTAAATTTAAAAAATATATTCTTTCATATGAACGTATAAATATATTAATAGATATTATGATAACTTTATTTTTTACTGCCCACGGTTGGGGTAGGATTTTAGGGGTTTATAAATTTAACACAATCGTCATTTAAACAAAATTTTTATTTAATTCAATCAATTATTCCAAATTCTTATGAAAATCTTGAAAATAATTAATATTTCTTTTTAAAAATAAACTAACTTTATATTTGTAACAAAATACATTTGTTTGCAATTCAACCCGTTTTTTTTTACAACGCTGTCTAAAATGATAACTGGCCAATTTCTTAATATTAGTTCTATTTTGCTGTCTGGGTTCTAAATTCTAAAGATCCATTTGGCGCCCCTTTGCTATACCCAAGGATTCGCTAACAAATGTCAGCACGTGATTATATTTTAAGATAGGAATGTACTAAACATGTTACACCCGACCATCGCTCAAAAAATATTTTTCTGTCCCGCATACTATTGTAGAAACGGTATGTGGTGAATTTGTTACACCCGGCGTTAAGAGGTTATGCAAAACGGAAACTAAAGGAATACGTCTTAACACCATTCATATAATTCTTACACTTGTAGAACGCGGACTAGAAAACTATGCAAAATGATACAGGCTACATAAATATTTACTATGAAAATAATAGAAGTTATTGATATATAAAGTTTTTTTTTTAATTTATTTACATCCAATTGTTACGAAAAATAAATCAGATCACTTCTTTGGAGAATTAAGAACAAATTGTAAAGCAGATAACGTAGGAAACATATTGATATAAAGAAAAGTTTGAGTCTATATCTAAAAATGTGTTATTTTAATGTTTCAAAATTTCAATTATATTTGGAATGTATAATAAAAGAAGTATTTATAATAGTTACTAATCAAAATCTGATATTGAATACTGATAAAAATAATTCCTAATGTTAAATCCACACAAATGTGTAAGAATTTTGTATATACAAAAATATATTTATGGCTATTTATTATTATTAGTTATAAGAATAAAATAATAACTTATTGGCCAGAAATATAACATAAACTATTTCGGTATTGGTAAAGAAGAAAGTCAAGGATTGGACGATAAATAGATTTATAGATAAAAGTTTGACAATGGATGTATATTTTGGAGCTATAGGTTAAATTAATTTTTCTAAACTTTGGAATATTCATGTTGTTTAGAATGTAAATATGGAAAATATATGGAGAAGTTTTAATAGAACGTAAAATATCAATAAAGTTTATTTAAAATATTATAAACCGCAAACCATTTCGATACCCAAAATTAAATAGATCCTGTAGTATTTTTTAAATTTGAACTATTGTCATTGTTTATAGGTTAAATAAATTGTCAAGATGACTGAAAAAAATATTTTCAAATGGAGAGATAACTAAAATACTAATTATAAGGTAACGAATTAAAAACTTACACCAATTTATTTTGCCAAGTAGCACGATCAAATATTTCATCACAAATACTGGCACATTTGAACTTCCTAAACTGATAACCAATAAGAAAAAGTATCCATTCACTATTCTTCTGATCATTCCAACACAACAAAGTTTTCAATATCAATCACAAAATCACCCAATTTCATTTTACCGAATCCGCGAATATTATAATTATGAAACTTTAAATTTCATAATATAATATGGAACTGTCGTAATAATTAATATGTTACTAGGCAATATAAAGAAAATATATAAAATTTCATGTTTTCATAAAACATCTAGATTAAACAAATTATTTTCTTAATTTGCATTTTTATTTACTTACTAATATAGTCATACTTCAGTTATCTTTGATAACAAAGCATTGTTATATCAAAGTCAGCAGTTTCAAGACTCAATTAGTATACAAAATATTCCAATTGAAGGCCAATCATCATTGAAAGTTGTATTAGAAGAAAATAACATCAATGATATTTGAAAAGAAGTTATCAAACCTCAATTAATAGGTGTAGAAAATATCGATGAAGATGTTACAAATTTATTTAATTTAAAATATGTTGTTTTTTTAATGGATTTAAAAAGCATCATACTAACGAGGACAGAAAAAATAAATCAAGATTTCAAAATAATCTTAAATGACATTAGAACATTTGCCCATTGTAGTAATTGTATGTATACCTCTGAAAATGAAGATTCGTTTAATGAACTATTTTTTTTTATCGCATTACTTAATCGAGGTATTGTATTGACAATAAATATAAGTAGTTGTGAAAGGTGGCAACACTGTACACAACACAATAATGATAGTTAGGAAAGCTAGGATTCGTAGGAGTTTAAGCAATAATAAATGTTTAAGTGTTGTACAGTTCAGCAAGAAGTGTTAAGAAGAGAATCCATATAAATCGCTATGTTAAAATTGAACGATTGTTCCATTACCTACACAACTTGATCCTTCGTCCAAAACAATAATTATATATTTTCTCGTGTGAACTATTTCAGTTTCAGTTCTGTATATTACAAATATAATATTAATTTGAGTAAAAAACACATGGCTT